AACTTTCGGTGAGCTGGAACCAATTACCCTAAAACCCATTGAAATAATGGTTTCGGTTAACGAACGACCTTCTGGAACGGATTGAGTTCATTAATGGAGGGGTCACTGTATACACACACACGCACGCACGCACACACACACACACACACACACACACACACAGTATTACCCCGCTTTACGCGGTTTCACTTTCCGCGATTTCTCATTTACGCGGTGCCTCGCCAGAACCGAACTTTCATTTTCCGCGGCGCATCTACTCATATACGCGGGAAGCGGCGCGGGCAGGACGCGCACAAGGTCGCCCAGTCATCAAAACATTACCGAGTTCTTCACCCGCCACCCACCACAGCCGGCCTAAGTCAGTGATAGTGAGGATATGGACTTATATGGACTTTGAGGGGTTTGACAAAGAGGCCCTGCAAGCCTATTTGGTGGATAGTGATACAAGTGATACAAGTGAGGGCCAATAATCTGCCCTCTGCCTCGGAACCAACCCCCATCCCTGTGTGCCCAGCCATCTTTTCTACTAATGTAAGTGTTAAAAAACTAATATTATTGATATTTCTCTTAATTATTAATTGTGAGTGCATACCATCATAAAATTAAGATGTAATTTTTACTACAACGTAGGTATTGTGTCTGAAAAAGTGGAGTTTAGGGGTCGGGCCAGTCTCTATTGGAATTAATCCCGTGTTCTGTTGTTCACTTTACGCGGTTTTCACTTTCCGTGGTACCCTGTGGGTTCAATTGACCGCGTAAATCGGGGTACTACTGTATGTATATATATATATATTATTTATTATATATTTCATGTAGGTCCACAATGAAAACGTGGATAAGATAAATCTTGATAAAATCACACGGGAAAAGGGAAACAACGGAGCACCTTAGCTTTCGTCTTTATTCAAGACATCTTCAGTTGCCCCCTGAAGATGTCTTGAATAAAGATGAAAGCTAAGGTGCTCCGTTGTTTCCCTTTTCCCGTGTGATTTTATCAAGATTATATATATACAGTTGTACCCCGCTTTACGCGGTTTCACTTAACGCGATTTCTCATATACGCGGTGCCTCGCCAGAACCGAACTTTCACTTAACGCGGTTCATCTACCCATATACGCGCAGAGTGTCCAGCTCGAGACGCTATTTTTAGATTCGCGCCACCCGCTGCCGCCTGCCTCGCCTCTCCCTCCTCCTCCCTCCCCTTCCGCCTCCGCCTGGGCAAGCCGCGCTGTAAGGTTGCGCAGTGTGTGTCTTTGTTGCGTTATCACTGACGTCATATGACATATCGGACTGTGATTGGCCATGCATCCCTACCCCCCTCTGCTGCTAGCTGTAATTGGTTTAAAGTAATATGATGTGTCCACCCGGGGAGGGAGAGAGGGAGGAAAGAGGACGCTGCCGTGCTAGTTTCATCCCTCCAGGTCACCCCGTGTATACGTGCATCCATTGTTCTGTGAAATGGCTTCCGCCGGACCACCACCGCCACCAGAGAAACCTTTCCTTACCTGGACCCAGCCGCCCTAAGCCCAAGAAGACACGCCGTGGCCTAAGCTACGAAGTGAAATACCAGATCATTCAAGATTTGGAGAAAGGAACACGTCAAGCTGATCTCGCGCGCCAACATGGCGTCAACGAATCTACGATTCGTACTATTAAGAAGGATGCAGCCAAGATTAAAGAACACATGAAAATCACAAAGTCTGCAGGTGCTTTAATGATAAAGTATTGCCAGAACAGGGTGCTGGCAAAGGTGGAAAATTTGCTGGTGAGTTACTTGATTCGTCAGGCAAGACAGAACATGGCGGTCGACACGCGCTCAGTGCAGGAGTACGCACGTGAACTTTATGCAGCAGTGTCACGTAAGCTGGGAATTGCAGAGCCCAAACCCTTCAATGCTTCCTCTGGTTGGCTGCATAGGTTTAAGAAGAGGAACAAGATCACCAACATCAACATTGGTGGTGAGGAAGCGAGTGCTGACCGTGTGGCAGCTAGAGATTTTCCTCCATTCTTACGTGAGGTTATGGAGGAAGGACAGTACACTGACGACCAGGTGTTTAACATGGACGAATCTGGTCTTTTCTGGAAAAAGCTACCTTCCAAGACCTTCGTTATCCAGTCTGCCAGCAAGGTAAGGGGTCGGAAGTTGCAGAAGGAACGCATCACCGTCCTCTTTACCACCAATGCCTCCGGTACCTGTAAACCAAAGTTATCGGTGATTCACATAGCCCACAAGCCGCACGCCTACAAGAATATGGACATGAACAAGCTTAATGTCCACTGGCTAACCGCACGTAAGGCGTGGGTGTTCTCTTCTCTGTCCCTCTTCTGGTTTGACGACTGTTTTGTTCCCGACGTGAAGAAATTCTGCGAGCAACAGAATGTTCCATTCAACATTTTGTTGCTCCTTGACAACGCACCTGGACACTCGCCCCTACTTATGGATCGTCACCCCAACGTAAAAGTGGTCTTCCTTCCTCCCAACACTACGTCATTAATCCAGCCCATGGACCAGGAGTTGATCTGCAATGTGAAAGCTGCATACTCTGCAAAGAAGTTCAAGCTCCTGAACGACTCTACCAACACCAAGGATGAGTTGCGTAAGCTGGGTGACACCGACAGCGAGAGTAAAAGCGACGAGGACAAGGAACAAGAGGTGGCGACTCAAGAAGTTCTCGTCAAACAGTTTTGGAAGAAGTTTAACGTCAAACAAGCTGTAGACTTCTTGGTGGAGGCATGGGATCAGCTGTCTATTGCTACGATTCGTCACGCATGGAGACATGTGTTGCATGGCATACCAGCTGAGAGGAGGAGTCAACCTGTGACTGGTGAGGTTCAGACTGTTGCAGTAGCAGTGGACCTTGCCAGAGAAGCTGCGCACAATATTACAGCTGAAGGCTTCTCCGAGACCACCAACGAAGACATCCTGGATGTGATCAGAGATCCTGAAGTGACTGCCGACGAGATGTTGGAAGATGATCACGTCAGTGAAGAGGAAGAAGGTGCGTCATTCTCCGAAGAACACAAGTTAAATCATAGTGATATTAAGGGTGCCATGGAGTGTGCAGAAAAAATGAAGTCCTTCCTTTTCCGCGACAATGACGATGACCGCTATGAAGTCTTTCATACCTGGCTGGTGCAGGCTATGGAGCCGTACATCAAGGTGTATCAAGACAACATTAACACTAGCCGTCAAAAAAGCATTACCGAGTTCTTCGCCTGCAACCCACCACAGCCAGCCAGAGCCAGTGATAGTGACAGTGAAGGTGACTTTGAGGGATTTGTCAGGGAAGCCCTGACAACTGTAATTGATAGTGATGGTGATGCACCTAGTAATGGTGATTCACCTGAGGGCCAGTACACTGCCCTCTGCCTCGGAACCAGCCTCCATCCCCATATGCCGACCCATCTCTTCTACTAACGTAAGTGTTACACCTAACTTTTAGTTTTCCTAACCTAACCTTTATTTTTCCTTACTTAACCTTTATTTTTCCTAACCTAACCTCTTCTATATTACTTGTTTGTTCATACCATCATAAAGTTAAGATAAAATTTTTACTACAACATAGTTGTGTGTCGTCAAAAAGTGGAGTTTGGGGGTCGGGCCAGTCTCTATGAATTAATCCCATATGTTCTGTTGTTCACTTAATGTGGTTTTCACTTAACGCGGTACCCTGTGGGTTCAATTGACCGCGTAAAGCGGGGTACAACTGTGTGTGTGTGTGTGTGTGTGTATATATATATATATATATATAAGGGGAAGTTTCTAGAAGGTCAATATATAGTTTTTCTCACTTCTTTTTTATTGTTTCATCATTTAAAAAGGTTAAAAATTATTTTTGGAAAAGTTGATTTTTCTCGATTTACCCCGTGTAGGGGACACAGCCAGCGGCACCCTAGCCCGGGGCGTAGAGGTTACGTATCAAATTAGTGAGTTCAATGTACAGTAAACCTTTGCTATTTGTGGGGGTTAGGTTCCAGGGAATTGGGCAAAGCCGCAAATAGCAACTTATACTACCTTAGTGCACTACTTACTGTACAGTATACCTATACTGTACTGCATATGAGAAAATTAAGTCGGCAATATTACTTACCTTCGTAAATGGCGCGGCAGCACTCGTTCCCTCTTTTAACTTATCTAATAATTCAACTTTCTTTGTCAGGGTCATCACCAACTTCTGCCTTTCACATAAAACTAGCATCACTGACACTAGGCAGTCTTTTAGGGTCCATTTTACACAGAAACACTAAAGTTTTGAGCACAACACAATAGATGCTGCATCGCAGGCATCATCTGCTTACTGTGAATCGCAAACCCACGAATAACAAGGGTTTACTGTACAGTCACCCATGAATTGAAATCATTTATGGAGAAATAATATATCAATGTCTAATGCTTTGGGTTTACTAGTCTGAATCTCGGGGTTTGTGGTTCAGGAGGAGACGCTACAGGACTTTTGTGGGTGACTGTACATCCAACATAGAGTATTTATCATTTGTTGCCATCATCAATCTCATTCGCATTTCAGTGTCCTACCTGGATTCCTGTTATGTATAGAATATGACTGCAGGTCCTTTATTACCTCCACATGATCCTGTATTCAACTTAATCATAGATTCCAGAAGCAAGAATACTGTACCAGTCTGGAGTAAAAAAATAAAAAATGCATATAATCCAAATATTGTGAATAACTATTTTATTACTCTCTCTTTCCATCTCCTAACTCGAGAATTATCTCCTCTTTCAACCTCAACTCTTCTTCAAGTTCAGTTATACGTAACCGAGCTTCTTCTAATTCAACTTTGCATGTTTTGCTTGATTCTGTTGCTGCCTGTTGAAGGTAAAAAAAAAAAGAGATGTAATCCATAACTCTTGTCATATGAATTGTCACAATGGTGAATTTTCCAGTTCATGAAATACTGTAGTAGGGAGGACGGTTAACATCTCAAAGTAAAAAAACAAAAATTAAAAAGAAAATCAGAATTGCACACAACTTTGATTACTTTCAATTTTCAAGGACAACAATGACAATAAAACTACAGGCAAATTAACAATACAGTAGTTTTAAATTTCAAACAAACTTCTGATAACTTTCAATACACACCAGTCATACAGTTATATTAATCTCAAACAACATGTCAACCTACCTTATGCACAAGTGATGACTTCATATCAGGTGACAAGTAATAACTAGCAGCTAGGAAAATTCTCTCCAGTTCTTTGTGGTAACCCTGCAACATCAGAGACAAATTATTGACACCATTGTCAGTAGTAGACAGAAGTCTTCTAAAGATGACTTTTCCACCCAACTGTGGCTTATTGAGACAATAAATAGCAACACTGCTGCCAATGATCATTTAAGAGAAAGCATCTTTATAAACACATTCAACCCATTCACAGGGGCACCAATCTTATTAAAGGGAGATCAGGGGAGAGAAGATTACTTTTCATATGGAATGATCAGTCCCCAGCACATTCTGCATCACACTCACTCACTCTTTTTATGTTGTTGGGTGGAGGGATATAAAGTCATACAATGTAGCCTGTGTGGTTGCAATTAAAACCACATACAAGTGCCTAAAAAAAAAAACCCTTAGCTGTCCCTATTATTGGAGCAAGTGTTAGGTTAGTCTGTGCTATACAACAGCATCACCAGATATGGATCTGACAAAAGTGGATGGTAGCAAACATGTTTATGCTTAGCAGCATATGAGTAATCTCTATTTTCTATGATGACTGAAGAGTTGAAGTAGTAAATGAAAACTACCATGGAGGTATGGTCGACTGACTCATGGAGATCTTTATTTTCTACAAAAAGATATATCCATATGTCTTCTGAGGGATAGGAGCTTTGGCAGCTCCAGCCACTGTATCCAATACATGATATTGGGAGACTGTTATACACATTAATTGAGCTTGGCAACTGTGAGACATCTACGGGACCTCCCTCGTGATCATGAAAGATCCTGTATAACATTCCAAGCACATGATAAAAAATGAACATCTACATTACATTAAACCTTTTTTGTCAGTAAACCAGTGTGTAGATCCTGTTCTGCATCATCCCACCGTTGGCGAAGCTCAGCAGGGAGCCGTGGATACACCACCAACGCATTCTCCCCACAGACATCAGGAGTTTCAAACTTTGCCAAGTACCTAGAAATATTATTAAAAAATTTAAGTTGGAAGCTGAATTTAAAATATTGTATATAATCCAGCTAAACATTTTAAGTACTGTAAGATAGTTCAAATACCATTTTCTTATTTTTCTTAGTTAAAATCATGAACACTAGGATCACTAACAACAACACAACAGTTTTAACTTCAATAGATAGTTTTCTTATGATACAGAGGGTGTATGAAAGAGTGATTCTGAAACCTACTTTAAGACTGAACATGGATTAGGCAATTCGCATGCTATCAATTTTGTCAATCCAAGAACTAATTAATTAACTTGTTTAATACTTCCCATCATATCTGAGTACTGTATTGGTATCTGAAGAGAAACCTTGGAATATAACATTTACTAATCAAAGATGAAGACAAGTATTTGACCATAATACTAACATACATACTCACCAACCCTCATTTGTCTTCAGTTAAAAACTTTCATGTCATAGGTCACAATCAGTGTTACACAGTCATTGAGATGCCCGATCCAGGCTTAGTCATAAAACAGGATTTAAGGGTCAATCCTTAATTCATAACCTACTGTAATGCCTTACTTGGGCAAATTGCATAAATAAAGCCAGCTAGATACAGAGGATTGATCCTGAAATCATAACTGAGCCTGGATCGACCAATCCTATACTGTATAACTAGGCAAGTCTAAGTGTGAAACCCTCTGGTTCTAAGATCCAGTTTGTTGCCTTGAATCTACAGTAAGAACAGACAAAATTAAAACACTCTTCTTCACTTTCATACCAGATTCCAAAGGAGAAACTTGTCATGAGGTTACCCTAAAACTTGCCATGAGGTTACCCTAAAACTTGCCATGAGGTTACCCTAAAACTTGTCATGAGGTTACCCTAAAACTTGCCATGAGGTTACCCTAAAACTTGTCATGAGGTTATCCTAAGACTTCTCATGAAGTTACCCTAAAACTTGTCATGAGGCTCAAGTTAAATAGAAGATTTGAGGAAATGTTTACCAGATGGTAGTATTTAAAACAGCAGCCATTTGGCAAATCTCTCTAAAACATGTTTGACATTGTGTTAGGAACACATCTGTTAGTAATTGTGAAGGATTAATGTACAGGTATTTACAACCTATGGTGATTGTTGGCATCCAGGACCATGGATTTGGTGGGATTTACTGTGAATTAATTTCTTATTTATTTATCAAAGCTACAATAATAAGGAAATAATACTGTGTATGTCTCACCTGCATTTATCTGGTTCACTGACTGACACTAATTCAGATGATGGTCCACACTGAAGAGTTATCTGTTGTGGAATAACATCAAAACTTTAGTGTTACCACAAACAAAAGACATTAGCTGTTTTTGTTAACATAAAAAAGTGAATAAATGTCATACTATATCTTTAACACTTTGACTTCAATAGGTGTGTCCCCTGGGGATCCTCCCAGATGCAAGAATTGTTCTATTTCCAGGAATGTTGATAAAAATAATACTGTATACCTATAATAATAACTTCCATATCAAATGAAACAAATATTTTTGGCACAATATTACCTTACTAACCTCAATTAGTGCATTTTCAACTACAAACTATGGTTGATTGTTGGTAGAGAATCATGAACAAAATAAATAAAATAAGTTGTATAACATTTGAATAATAATAAAGTACAGAATGTAAAGAAATATAAAATATTCAAAACAAACATACACTGTGGCCATGTGGGTTCTGTAGATATATGGAAGCCCTCAGAGTTTCTGGGGGAATAACTTGGAAAGTGGGAAGTTTAAATGTATGGTGTGCAAATAAAAAAATGCAGATCCTGTGAAAATCAACACCAAAAGAAACACATTTAATAATCCCACATTTCTCTCTCTGATTATGTCTGACCTCTTCTAAAATTCTTTTATTCCAGTTCCTTGTTTAAATAATTATAAGTTTCCCTCTTGTCAGAAACAGATGCATAATTAAAAAGTTCTGTGTCTCACTATTATGCAAAAAGAAAGACCTATACTGTATTACCATACACATTACACAAAATTACAGTACAGCTCCTCCCCGACTTATGACCTACTCGACTTACGACCGCCTCAGTCGTACCAAAATTTTGTCAAATTACGTATTTTCGAGTCCCAATGTCAGTGATTGCGCTGTGTACTAAAAATTTTCGTTTGTAATTCACTTTAAAATGGCTGGTAAGCTTAAAAGTGAGAATTTTGTGGTGCTGAGAAGAAAAAGAGTCACCCATTTTAGATTTTTTATGTATTATTTAAGCATTTTCGACTTACGACCCGGATTTGGGTCCCTAACCCCGTCGTAAGTCGGGGAGGAGCTGGGTATATACCTGTAAATGTAAATACATTCCTATGGAGGAAAAACTTGGACCCAAGATATGATAAACCTACTCTAAAAACAATGCAGTGTTAATGTCATTCAAAATCTTATTTGCGATTTTATTTGATAAGCTTCTATCAAAGAACATTGTACGAAGAAGGATTTTCTATAGCCAGAGGCACCAACCAATCCAATACATCAACACGACTAAAGTTACTGCTCATTTTTTATTCCACTGGACCATGGAGTCTAGATACTTTTTTGCTGACTATATTATTTTTCTATTTATCTAAAACATGAAAAGTGTTCATAAAACAGCACTGTACTTGGGAAACTTCAACATACTCAGTACATTTGCTGATGTTTGGCATCTATGGAGCCTCATTATTATCCCCCCACAGCGAAATACATGCTCAACTTGAGTAGTAGAAGCCGAGCAGTTACAATGATCAGTGCCAGATTGACCAGTGACAGAAACTTGGCCTTGTTCTGCTACCAGAACTAAACTAGAGTCACACCAAAGAAAATTTACCATGACCCAGGAAATCCCTATTTATGGTGAATTAGCAGTCTAGGTAGTGACTTAAGGAGAGATGAGGTATCTCCCCTACCTGCACCCAAAGTTAATCAGTTGACAACTACCAACGGACCTGAAATTAATACGTAAATGAATTTGTGGTCTTGAAAGGTCTAGTGGAAAAATCCGAGACCACTGATGCCCAGAACCCAGACCTGGGAAAATGGTCTCAAGACTTACATCACTGATGCATGATGCCTAACATAGCAAAATAAATTATTAACTTATGGTGTATTGAAGAGGTATAAGGTTGGCTTTCTCGGCCCAGATGTATGTTCATTGCCTTACCTTAACCATGGTTATTTTTTGTTCTCTTATTGTGTGTATCTTCAGTTGACCATTTTTACTTTTCTGAAGGTTACTGTTTATAGATTATGGAAGTGACAAAGTCAGAGAGTTATTCAATCCAAATTGTTGTCTTTTTTAATAATTAAAGTTGCATTGTTTATTATTGATATATGGTTTCATTGTCAATCAATCAATCAAAGTACCGTACTCATATATGAAAGCTGGCAACCACAGTTCTCAACTCTGGAACACATTCTTGACGTATAATGATTTATAATTACATAGTTTAATCAAACACTTGATCCCATTCTTGCACATTTATTCTATAAATTCTGCTGGAAGTTGATCAACCCCACAAGCTTTTATCATTCTTCATTTTGTTCACAATTGCCTCAATGTCTGATTCTGGAATTAGTAGAGAATAGAACAAGTTGGAAGTGAAGTATGGGGTGTAGAAGGTTGTTCATACTTACTCTAGTAAAGAGCCAGCCCATTACCTATGAAGAAGTAATTTTGCATGCTTAGTGACTATCCACTTCCAACCTTCTCATTTAAGATTACAAGATGGTAACTTTATACCCATCCCAGGTATGTGGTAGTGGTTCATTCAAGACCCAACACCATGACCAGGTAACACAAAATCGGATACCAGATGGATTTGTATATTGACTGTGATATGCAATTCAATGGATGTGATTTATTAGATGCCTAATAAAATACTGCAAGAGTGTATAGTGTTCTATCACTTAGCCCTCCAATGAAATTAACTTCAGGATGTCAACACGAGTAGGGAAAGGAAACTGGTGGTCTTATCGCCTTTTCACGCAAGCTTCATACCAAATAATGTTCCCCTTTTTGGAATCTGGTATGATGATAAAGGACATTCTAACTTTTAAGTTACAGGTAGTTCAAATTTTAGATTTCAATGACATGTCCGAGTACCTGGGAACTTGTTTTTAACCCTTTGTGACTACATACAGTTATCCTAGACTGGCAATTAGCTAGAAAATAATCCAATTTATATCATTTGGTAATGGTAAATCTTGTACAGTACTACACACTTGGTTATACTGTAGAGGAAACACAAGAAGTGGATTAAGTTTTCATGGCATTGTTTTTATGGTGATTATCTCCTTAATAAAATCTGTAGTGTATTTTACTCACCTTTGTGGAGCGATGCATACCATTGCCACAAGGACTCCCCTCGATCATGTTCATCATCTTAAATTTACCATCCTCAATTATCCAGTCAGCCCAGACCCTGTCAAATATAAGCATCTCTAAAACTTATCCAGTCAGCAAGTAGATAAAATAAACATTCCTTTTGACATGATATTGTGTTCCTTAGTCCAAAGCTAATACTGTACCCTTGAAAGTTCATTATAACATACTGTACTATATAATACAGTATGTGATATGGAGATACATTAGAGCAGTAAAATTAATTTCCACTAATTTTATGGTTTCTTATGTAATTATGGCACGTGCACGTCCTTCTCACAGCCAACAAGTGCCCTACACTCGTATCCTTTTTATTTTATATTTTCATATTACTGTACAGTGTCAGTATACAGTATTTTCTTTATTCATAAGTCACACTAATACATTAATATGACTTTTCCACAATACAGTATTCTGTGGTTACTTGACACATAACAATGGCATTAGTGCTCAGTCGTGTGAGAGGTGACTGATATATTTTGGTGTGTTAAAAACCTTACAGTTATTGGCCACTTTTATTATTTATGGCTATTTTTACATTATATTACTTGCATATAACACTATTTATGCATCATATTCGGATACACACAGACATGGGCATCTGTTGTGAGGGAGCAAAGGGGGGGAAATGGTGTATGGTCAGGGGATCAGAGATAAGCAGGTGGTTCCTCTGGCACACATGCACATAGACAAAATCTCTGTTATGTCAGTGTGAAGAGGTGACATAAAATTTATAGAAAACATTGGTATATGATTCAGCAAACGAAGGACAACAATGCTTAAGCCATATATGATACAGTAATAAGAAAATACTTAAGTAGTATATAAAATAACCACATACCCAAGAACACCTTTATAAGGCTCATAGTAAGTCTGGATGTCTTCCTGGGTTAGGTTCTGGAAGGGGCAAAACACATACTCGTATCTGTGGGTATAACAAGATTTTGATAATTAGTGACATATGACATACAGGTAGATATAAATTCAGACCCCACCCAAAGTGTCCCCACACAACACAAAAACAACTTAAGTAATATCTCTCAATAAAGGACTTCTAGATACAGGGGGTCCCCAATTTATGAACACCTGCTGATACAAATGAGGTTAAACTTTAAATTTGCAGTACTGTATTTTATTTTATTTACCTGATGACTTATTTTTTACTTTCATTTACTGTATTTTGTCATTCTATTTCTTCTTTTGTCTTAAATTAAGTGAATTCAGATGTATATGAGGACTTAGGCTATGATATACAGTAGTGGGATTTTAAACATTGTTTTGTAAGTACAGTACGTTATGCACATAGTATGTGTTCCGACTTACGTACAAATCAGACTTACGAACGTTCCCAGGAACGGAACCCGTTCATAACCCAGGGACTACCTGTACTGGAAATCTCTAATAACCAAAATTGAAAATGCATTCTGGTGCTTTCCCAGAAATATTTTTCATTTTCTGGTACAGTACCTCTCTGTTGATTTCATAAGTATTTTCCAATTCTGTCTCTCTTAACACATGGCATGTTACATATGTATTCATGCTGCCTGGGTAGTGTTCCCTTACCATGTACTCCACTCATGCACAGTTCCTATTGGCCTGCCATGCCCATGGAGGTTGTGATTAGCTGCCTCAGGCTTCCTTGCTTACCTCAACTAGACTCAGCACAGCTGACAATATTTACAGCATGAAGCCAAACATCACATTGAGCTTATGTAGGTGAGAAAATGATAAACACACTGCAGGTATTATTTCCTATAAGCACAATTTATTAAAAAAAAAAATTACAGGGCACAGGTAATCTTCGATTTATGAAAATTTTTAGCTAAAAAAAAAATTGTCTCATGATTTAATTTATAAGTGCAGTGGTCAAGTGGATACTGCACTCACTCCTGTTCCATGGGTCGGTGGTTTGATCCTAGTTCATCCAGCTGTAAATGGGTACTTAAGTTTACAACTTGGAGAAGTGAATGAGGTCAAGTGCAGTACTGGTCATATTGCTTCCTTGTGTATAAACTGTGCTATATCCACACCATCCCTAATGGACAGTCTTACCTATGAGACCCAATTTAAATTTTCACAGCCATAGCTGAAGGCTGGTATTATTTTGTCATACAGTATAAATTATTACGCAAAGAGTGCACATAATAAATACGGCTGGGAACCTCACTGTGTGTGTGTGTGTGTGTGTGCATGAAGTTCACAACTCCCCTTCAGTAAGTAGCAACATTACTGGTTGAACTGGCAACTATCCAGAGAACAGGGCCCTCGTGACTACTGAGGTTAACGCATGACCAGTAAGGTGGTAATTAACTTCTAATACTGAGGAAGCAGACAAGTGAACTACAGTATATGAGTGAAGACGGTTCATTGCACATGAACAAGTAAACCAAGTGAACATCACTGACTTCATGAGTGCACATTCCTCATTGGACTTTTAAGCTGATATCTGGTTCAAATGGAATCTACCGAACCCTAAATCAATTGGGTAAGAAAGGCCATTAGTAGCATGGAAAGCATACCTACCAATAAAGTACAGTATTGACTGTATAAAACAGGTACAGTGAGGGTGTTTAGGGTTGGGTTCTCTCACATCTCATTACAACAATTCATACATTATAAAGTAAGGGCTTATGTTAGTCAATGAATGCTTAATCCAATAATTTATGCAGTAAGTTCCCCTTTACACTTGTTAACAAAATATATATAAAAACTTTTTTCTGTTTAAGTTGTCAACATGAATAAGTAAAGGTGATGGATAAACTGGATATTTCAAAACACTGGTCATTAAGCTCTTAAGAAAAAATGGAATTACTATGAGTACTACAGGGAGTAATAATCACATTATATAGGAGGTACTCATCATCCATGGCTCATAGGGACCAGAAAATCGCCACATAAAGCAAATCCACTTACAACAGGGAATTTCTGGCCAAAAGAAATACATATACAGTAATGAGAATAGGGTTTGATTGGGAGCATTACTAAATGACTCTCAAAAGGATTATTTTATACCATTTACGGTATCATTTGTACTCGGGGATCTGAAGAGCACGTGAGATGTCTATCACAGTCATCAATTTTCTTCTGACAAATAACATTTAACTTCATGTCCAAGCCATAGCTGCTATGCTTTCTTTTAGGAATGACACTTACTCAATGACTACACTTTGAACTCATGGCTAAAACAATAGCAATGATTTTTCAAGAATGCACACAAAAAACAATAGAAAACTGTGGGAGGTTAGGCAATAATTATGGTGGGGGATGTGTGTCAGTATAGCAGGAAATTTGAATCATTCTCTGTTGAGACTTCTGCATTACACAGATATTATTCCTCATAAGTGTGGGAATTTTTTATGTACCTGTATAGTCCAAGAATAATTTGGTCTCATAAATGTGAAACCACATATATCAAGGATCCCCTGTATATTATATTTTACACTTGGATCATGCTGACAACAGTAGAAAAAAAAATCTTTTAAAGACTAACTTCAAATCTCGATGTTTGAAGCATCTGCCAACCAGGTCCTTCAGATGCCCTGGGCCAGTAAAGTTGGCAGGCTTCATTCTTAGTTGTAGCTTCTCTTCTGCTTTTGAATCCAGCTTTTGTAGGTTACTGTTGAAAAAGACAATACAGAATCATAATACTTACTAACCTTTCTACTTTTATGGCAAAACATTTATACCATAAGTAATATAACACAGTATGAGGAGATAGCTTCTAAAATATGTAATATACAATATAAATCATCAAATACTACCAGAATTAGAGAGACACACTGTATCCTCAATGAGGGATTTGATTGATATTCATACATGGATGACCAAGCTGGGGTGGATCTAGGCATTCTCCAAGGGTGACATGTACATAAGGAAACCTGATCTAAGACTGAGCAGGGACTTCACTTTAAATGTATGAACACTGCTCTAACAGTTTTCTCTTGTCCAGACAGATTTAATTTCATCAAGAGAAATCTAATGTATAAACAAGATTTACATCCACCGGCATAGTACATAAGAATATAAGAATGTAGGAAACTGCTGCGGGTTTATTGGCCAAAACTAGGCAGCCCCGTACAATGTTTCAGATAAATGTTAATACCCTGTACAGTGTTATTAGTTTCACTAATTTAATTAATTGGTAAAACTGCTGTTTCGGACAATACGCCCTAGTAATTGACCAATGTTTTTTTTTGGTGGTTTAGACAATTTTAACAAACTTTTCTTCTATGACGTTTTTGTCGCAAATGACCTAAAATTACCTCTCCTAACCGGATCCCGTGGTATATTTAAATAACTTACGATGGAAACGTCATATAAGAAATGTCTTAAAATTGTCTATACCATCGGAAAACAATACTCGAGACCCATTGACCGAAGCATCAGTTATAACAATTACTTGGTTATCATTCTCACCTATATCCATTACTGGGCAGTTCATTTATGACCTTTAGATTAACCATTTCAGCTCGAGAACTTGACAAAACAATGAGACACATGATAAATAAGATGACTGAGGTATACATTTTGGTTTACGTCAACAATACTTCATACAGCCACCAACTCTTGTGACCCAATAACATCCTTTTAGTAATTTATAAATGGAACTAATATTAAGCCCCTAGTCTAAGCACATAAAACTAAGTCATTAACCAGTCACTCAAACGGCTATTAAAGCTGATAAATGGTGAAATGGTAAATTAAAGTGAGTATAATGAATAAATGGGTAAAATTTATTTCGGGTTTATTAAGAATATAAGAAAAGGAGTGATATTTCATTTAATGTTATATAAAGTTAAATATTTTTAGTTTTAATATATCAGGTAAACTCATTCATTTTAGTGATTATATTGAAATTATATAAGTAATACCTAATATAATAGTTAAGTTACAAAAACTGGTCCACCATTGCTGTTGTTGCCGGGGATGATGGCTTGTCTCAAAGGCCTGTCTTCTCTTCACAGGTCAGTTGTTTAATGTTTAATTCTGTTAGCTTTAATATTGAAGGTTTTACTGTGGTATTAGTTAATTATTTACGACCTCACAGCCGTTGATTTTACATAGAAAACGAATTTAAAAACGCCGCAATTTCACTGTTTTATAGTGAACACTGTCGTAGTTATGGTAAATGTGTTAAAAAGTTTTTATTTAAAAGTTCAAGTTAAGTTAACCTATCCTAACCTAAATTAAAAAGATAACCTAACCTAACCTACCTTAGCATAACTTGACATCCAGCAAATTTTAGGATTTTAAGTTTAGGTTTGGTTGAACTTATGTTTTTCTGGTGTGGTTTTTTTTTATGTGATTTGAATGATTCTGACCTACTTCCAAATAGGTGGATGACCGAAACGATAATTTTACCTTTAGTGGTATATTATTTAACTTGTTGCCACTAAATAATTATCCCGAGTTTTGTATTACCCTGCATTTTAGTTTCGGTCATTGGTTAATCTTAGGAATTTAACCCCCACCAGAAAGTGGGAGTCTGTTATATATGGTCCCTGGGTTCTGTGGCTAGGTTACATTAGGTTTGGGGCTAATACTGACGATTATATTGCCGACGCATTATTTGTTTTGATGTTTGCAGTAGTCGTCGTCAATATTGGCCGGTCAAGGTTAGGTTAGGTAAAGATGAACTTTTAAATTCGTTTTTGATGAAAAGTGAGCAGCAGGAAAGTCGTCAGTAATTACCTAGGTTAGGTTGGATATCTAAATACGGGGATGACCGAAACTAAACCTTTACCAGAATTTTATACTGTACTTGCCATCAGTAATTTTGATAATTCTAAGACACTTCTTGGTCAATTTGTAGTTTTGTCCAACCACAGCTCTCGAGTTGAGCAATGAATTTTTCCAATGGTTTGACAATTTTACAATACGTACTTTTTTTCCAATGACTTTTCCCTGGCAATTGATATATTTATACTGGGGGATCCAGGGGGGGGGGGTGGAACCCCCTGATTAAGAGGTTAGGTTAGGTCAGGTCATTTACAAGGAACCATTATAGAAGAAAAGTGTAACCCATCGGAAAAACACATTGCTCAACTCAAAAGCTGTGGTTGATCGAAACTACAAATTGACCCCTTTCTTTAATAAAATTTATGGCGCAAATCGAATGACTGTGGAGGCCCCGGTTATATTTGGTTGGTTAGGTTAGATTAGTTTCTAAACTATGTTTTTTGATAGTTTTTGACGTGATTTGATCACTGTTTACCTTCATTTTTATAGCAAATTTCTAGATTCAGAGCTGGGAGGGGGGGTGGGACTTGTCTCAGAAACTATTGATTTATGCCAGAATGAAGGTTAAATTCATTCATATCATATCAAAACCAACAGAAAAACATCGTTTCAACTTCGATCTCATTTGGTGGCAGCAAGTGAGAATTTACTGTTTTACTTTTTTTATACAGCACTTTTCGAGTTGAAATTTCAGACATCAGGGAATCCTGTTTTGTTTACAGAAGGTGCTGGTCACAGTCTACCAACCTTCTAGTCATTGTTTATATTTCTGTTTTAAATTTATCGTTATGGCATAAAACGAATCTTTACCCTTTTTAAGGTAATTGTGGAGGAAGCGGTGGTAATTTCTGAGAGCAACTCTACCACCAGAAAGAGCTGTTCGGTTTCCTTAAATTTTTCCACACATGTTCTTATCATTATAGTACCCAACTATTTTAAAAGAGGTGACATTTATTAGAACCAGAGGTAGAACCTGACCTACCTAACCCTTACCCTACTTCCTAGTACTGTACTGTACAATTAAGAAACCTTGTGGTTGATTTATTACATAACGTTAGATTATATTCCAGTGTTGGAAGTACAGTATTTTCTGATTATAGTATTTAGATTATATAATCAGAGGCGAATACTTTTTAATCGCATATTAGAGCATAAAGTGAATGTGTTCAAATATTTCAGAATTTGCATACCGAGACAGTGTGGACAGCGATACATCAGTACAGCTGTAGCACCTCTGTGCATCCAACTCACCCAAGTAGTAGGGTAAGTTGATATGAAATCATATGTAAATATCACATGTCTAAGACTGAAAATTTAAGGAAATTTTTTGGATAACTTCCATTTAGAAATGTATAGTATACAGTATTTCCTCATACAATGTGAATTTGCACTTTCTTTGCCAATTCAATAATTTAGTTTATAATACTGAGGACACTGTCAAAGCCTGGGAAATTGTGGATGCTTTCTGCCATTTTTTAGGATGGGCGGTGGCTTTGTCTATAAAGAGCAAAGCTTTGTCAGTGAGAATAATCTCATTGATGTACTTTTGAATGAAAGTAAAAAACTAATTGATAATAGACTCTTGGACCAGCACTGCTGTTACCTAAGACTTAGAATTTGACCTCCATATTACAGGAAGCGGTGTCTTGAGGTAACCCTTCAGTGCTTGTTAGTTTTCCGAGCAATGTTAAACTAGAATTATCTTGAGTTTGACTATACCTTAAGTTACCTCAGAAGTACAAAAGATGAAAGACTCCCAAATAAGTTTTATTCATGAACACTGTACTGGAAGGATCCAAACACACAGGTAAACAATGAAAATGGTAGAATGACAACATCAGCTGTGCTCTAGAGAAGAGTTTGACCGAGTTGAAGGAGGAAGAAACCTGTAGAGATTGACAAGCCAGGTAGGTACTTGTGAGGAGCATCAGCTGATTACTTTACAATGCTTGATGGTGAATGAGTGCTTATGAAGGTAACAGAGTATGATAAGGTGCATTAATTTGTGATTGTTATACTGTACTATACAGTACAGTACGTACCCCAATTTTTATTGGTACAGTATAGAGACTGTATTATAAATCTAACTTTTTTTTGTTTTTAAGAGCGGAGCCCTTAAAGAAAAAGAAGAAGTTGGATCCACAACTGGTTCGTCAGAAGGAAGAACGTAGGAAAAGAAAAATTGAGAAGGCTATCCGTCGTTTAGAGAAGAATGCAGGTCAGCTAAAACCAGTTGATGAACTTGAAGTCCCACCAGCCATTCTTCAGGAGATGAAGTTAGTGTTTTTACTTTACTTGGGTTATTTGGTTTGGGTAGATTGATACATTTATTATGCCATTTCATTCCCAGGATGTCATTGGCATGAACATCTTTGTACAGTACATGTAATGAAACACCTACTGGAAGGGGGCGCCCCTCCCACTTCTCTGCCAGCTAAAAAAAACAACAACAACTATTGGCTGTTATAAAAAAAAAAAAAATCCATATTTGATGATTCATCAATCAATCCACTGTTGTCTTGAATGGCTGAATTTACACCATCAAAGTTAAAGGGTTATGGAATAAATAAAGATTCACTGCAGTCCAACTTGGGACCCATGTGTTTGGTGGACGTGTGGCTCATGGAGACTGCTCATGCGTCCCACCAGCTACTGCATCCTCCTCACTCAAATTTTTCTTTGATTCACTAGATTCAGTGGTCAAATTTTGAGGAGTCTCCATAATCATGGGAAGATAATCCTTATCTCCTGAATCTGAAATAATGGCCTCAATTTCATCCTGTGTGGGGTGTAGTGCACGAGCGGAAAGGATACATCTTGACTCCACTGTTGTTCAACCAATACTAAGAAAAGTGTGGGTGCAAGGTTTCCACTGCCTGCAGGCAATTGCCAGATAGCTTCACAAAAATGCGTAATAAAAACTAATCTTGGGAAACTAATATTGGGCTCACGAGAATTATTCTGCAACACGTGTGGGATATGTCCATAAAGGTGAGACCCTGTCTATCAGAGGATGACAGATAGATGATTTTACCTGTTTGGTATCCAAGTAATGAAATCTGTCATTAATTTTTTCAGTATTAGTGGTTCATGTACTCCATAACAATGATTTAATATTTACAGGCAGAATCTCGTAAAAATTTTGCAGTAGAAATAAAAGAAACTATTTATTGTATATTGTATAATTGCATTTTTTTATAGTATTCGTAAGAGAGCTGAAATCTCCATCACTGAAGAAACTGAAGAGAGTCAAGCCTCAATATTAAAAGAATGGTCCAACTACAAATATCAACAACATTTGGCAGAAGTCACCTTGATTGAGCGCATTATTGCTTCCAGGGAACGAGCACTACAGGTGTGTAAAAATTCAGAAGTGAGCAAGATGTTTTGTACAAAAATTATTTTTATAACATAGCAGTGACTTATTATTACAGTACAGTACTGTTATTTTTTGTATGCATCCAAGAGAATTTGTACTAAAGATACTGTACAGATCCTCAAAACCAGATTTCAGAAGACCAGAGATTCTCAAAAACTGGTCATTTTCTTCCCTGGACTAGGTCAAATTATTTTCTTGGTAACATTAAATTTTGCTTCCACACTGACACAAACTCGGTTGAACATTTGTTTTACTTCTTAAATAACAAAATAAAGAAAAGGTCATTGCATACACACTTTAGGTAAAATACTGTACATGCAGTACTTTTAATAGTCTTACTGTACAGTATTTAGAAGTTGAGTTTTCCATAAAAGTGAGTTAAATGGGTTTGTTTATATGCCAGAAGCTTCTCCTGAGTTGAAGAACATTGCAAGAAGTAGAGAGTTTGTAAATAATTATTGTCTGATTGAAAAAATAACCCAATACCTTCACTATAATTTATGTGTTTACAGGAACTACGGCAGGAGTCTGAAGATTTATGGCTGGAGGCAATACAGATTGACCAGATGCTACTTCCATTCAGAGTGAAGGGACCTGTTGCAACTCCTCCAATCAAGGATTATAATGTCCCTGATGGAGATTACATTGATAAGACTACTAAATGGGATTAATACTTTTGTGGTGTTAGGTATTTATATTGTTAAATAAAAGTAGCAAAACCTAAGTTTCAAGTGATGAAGGAGAGGATTGAGAACATAAGACTAAATTTTCACTAATGTTTCAGGGTTAAATTATGTAAAATAAAAAGTGAACAATTGTTGTGTTTTTGTTACATGTTATTACAATATTTAAGCAAACACAATTCCAGTGGAATGATTTTATTCATTTGGGGTTTACTAACTGTAGGGATATTATCCCAAATCATGGTTGTCATGAAGAACTGGGATTTAAATAAACAACCAGGATGTGTACTGTATGTATATACTATTTGTATTGCCTCACTTCCCTAATGAGCTCCTTCTGAGGGATGGCCACCATAGAAGAGCCTCCACACTTTACTATCATTTTCTATTTCTTTTGATCTCCTTGTTCTCTCCATAATGAATTGTTCCAACTTTCCTTCCAATTATTTAGTCTGGCTCCCTCTGCCCATTGGTGCCTGACTAATCAGTGACCACCATGACATAGCATGTTCCCAAGTTCTATGAATGCATGCAAAACCTGGTTCACACACCAAAATTACCGAACATCAGTTCTTCGCTGACCTACAAGAATGAATGGTCAAACAGTATTAAACTGTTTCTGCTCTGAAATAATTTCTCACTTTAAAAGCAAACTTTTTTATCCCATTATTGAAATACCAGGATTTAGTTACTGTACTTAGAATTCATTAATAAATGATTGTGGCATTCACCTGTCTGACGAATTGCTGGTTTGTGCCCAGGGTAACCCCAGACCACCCAGTTGTAAATACCTGTAGATACCAAACTTTACAGCTGAGTAAGTGAAGGCAGTTGAGTTCAGTGCTTGACACACTGCCTCCTGTGTGCAGATTGGACTGTTGTCTTGTACTAAGCAGAATAGTGCTGGTTCAGGGAATACATAGTAAGTGTCATCAATGAAGATAACAGGATCTCCAAAATTCTGGACAGTACTGTATACCTTTCCCTAGTGAACTGGCCCACCATACATCGGCCAACTTCCCGACACCACTGGATGCATTTATCTCAAGCGGCCCACACACACATTCAATAATATTGACTCGATATATGATATTGACAATATTATTGATCGTGTATGGGTGATATTGAAGGTTTGCACAATATATTGAGGAAATAAAAATTGGTTTGATATTTATTGACAGGTTCTCATGTTAGGTTCCACAAAAAAGGACAGGAGGTTCATCTTGTAATGTATACGTACAGCTTTATTGTGAACTCCTTGCACTGTGGAAGATGTCATTATTATCAATGCCCATTGTTATACAAATTTACTTGGTCATTTATCTTAGTGAATTATTAATGTGATGTGTGCAACACCTATACATTTCCATAATGTATGCATCCTTAAAATAACTTTTTTATTTAAGCAATATTTGTATCCTTACCTGTATATAATCTTTGAGACAGTATTATATTTCACAGGTTTCTATTACAATTTGGCCTATTGATTATGGTGATGTAGCACTTATGAATTTCAGGTCCTCATATGTGTTCCCTGTGGCCAAGTATCGTAACGTAATTGATAGCCGCTGACGTGCTGAAACAGCTTCTCGCATCACAGTACGTATTTCTTTTATCAATGAGTGGGGTAACCATCTTCAGTAAGTCCTCTAAACATTCTCCATCCATTCTCAGAAAATTCTTGAAGTCATTTGGCTCACTTAAGTGCAGTTCCGACAGGAGATTCTCTGTGTAGTGATGTCGCTTCAGCCAGTTCTTCATCCAGCATTTCCTTTTGTGCCTTGTTTTCTTTTTCTTGCCCAGAGAAATTGCCAGAGCAAGAGCTACACAGGCATCACTGTCAATATTCAAGGTCAGTGAACTGGACCTTCACAGGATGATGACAAGAGCACAACTGAACATTGCACAATATTATTGAGTTGTTTGTGGTTGGCGGATTTTGACAAAATATTGCTGTCAATATACAGTCAATATTATTGAACGTGTGTGGATCGCTTTAGAAGCATCTAAACTATTGTTTACAAAGAAAAAATCTTGAAATTCGGTTGGTGGTAACAAATGCAAAAATAGCTTAGAATTTGTCTAGTACAACAGTTTTCTGATATTCAACTCATGATATCTCGGTTATGGGTAAAATGCGAGAAAAGTGTCATAGAAGAAAATTGGCTTGTTTTTGTCAGATCTTATTAAATAAAACAAAAAGCCACCATTTCTCGCCACCGTTTAGAATTTTCTAATAGTTTAACGATTTTCAACTTCCGATATCTCAGATTAAACAGATTCCATTAAGGAAACGAAAAACTTGTTCATAAACATAAATATGAACGCTTGTGTTATGGTGATAGGCCTACTGATACATGAATTACAAATGCAATAATTAACACCCGATTTTTATTTTGGTAAAAACCAAAAGACTTGCTAGTTAGTCAGCCAAAAGTAAAATTTACACTGGTCATATAAGATGACAATAAAAATACGTATTTGCAACAGGATATATTTGTGTTTCTTCACCTAAAGAATGAATTGTTTGGTTAGTAACCGGCACATCACGACGACTACAGGTATACGTTTTTTTTTTCGTTTTGTATGTCCTAGTTATAGTAAGGTGTATTTCCATCTTCCTGTTTATTTCTTGAAATACCATTAACTGATTTCGTTTTCGGCCTACTTTTCAGTTTTGGTTTTTGTCAACTTAACTTTTGAATATAATTAAGCACTCACAGCTGAAAACAATAGTGTTTGGATAAATTTTCCCTTTACATATGTTAAGTAAATTGTACCGGAATGTACCAGTTTTATTTAAAATATACAGAAAAATTTGAAAGGCAGAAATGTAAAAAAAATTATCAAAATAGTATACAGTAATCGTACCCTTTATTATGCAGTGGTGCCATACACGAGAACAAAATTCTCAGATAAAAAAATACAATTTTGTATTTTGCATTTTAGATCTTGCGATATATACTGTATAAAGCACCAATATGTTATTTTTAGCATTATTATAGTTATAGATATAATAGATTTCAGTACAGTATTTCTATGAGCAATATGAATTGGTATACCTGTACCGTCTAGCACCTACTCTAGTTGGGGCGTGGGAACAGGATTGATACAAGACCAATACAGTACTAAATATTGTCTCGCCAGCCCCACGTAATGATATAATGTAATCATTGAGAGGAGACGGGGGTCACATTGTAGGGTGTCTGTTCTATTGACATCTACTCACAGATGGTCTGGAAGAGGCTCACGCCTGTAACAGTAACTCCAGCTCAATAGCCTCGTCTCTACTCAGACGGTGTCTTTTGTGTGATCCTTAGTGGAAGAAAAAGGTGCCCACGGGCTATTTTTTTTAGTTATGTTTCCTTCTTAATTTCTATTTATCTCGGCAAAAATTCCCCATATGAGTAATTAGATCTCCAATATAGGTAATTATATTTGCCTCATTTTCTGGGATTCCGATTATGTTTATGATCTAGCAAACTTGACTGTGTTTAATTTCGTCTTTTAGCTAATTTTGGGGCCTATAGTGATGGTCACCTCATGTTTCACCCTACCAGAATGTTGGAGTTGTGTTATACACTCCAAGCACTGCTGTAGTGTGATATAAGCTTATAAATTTATTAGTTTCTATCGCAAGGTGTATTTTAATAAGCCGCCGCTTCCTAAACGCACCTGCTCCATGTTTACATCAGAAGGGGAACCAGTTTACAACTCCTGTTTGACTTCTCATAGTACACGTACAACGGTACAAACACCATTCCACTACCTCCATGTTTATATATTATACTATTCAAATGATACAAGTTATGAAGTTAGGCATACAAGTTTTATAAAAAAATGCTAAAGCGAAGATGTTCACTAAATGACACTAATATTTATTCACTGCTCTTGAGCACAACTAAAGCTAAGAAATTCGAATTTAATTGTTTATTTCTGCAAATTTAGCACTCATGCATTCATATACATTATACTGCATAATCATAAATGTTTCGTTTACTTACATTCATATTCACTAACTTATCAATAAAAAAAATCATGCATGACTTGTTTCAAAATGCCTTACATATTTTGTATCTACACAAGACGTTTCAACTCACATATCAAGTTAAACTAACTCGTCCACCTATTTGACAAGCATACAATTTAGTAAAGTTGTATACCAAAGACATCATTCGAGTACTAACTTGTAGCGACTTCGTATATGTTTAGGCAAAATTACAAAATTCCTTGGATGCAACATCGTGTGTATAACGGTAACTTATTCTGTACGATCGCAAATTTCATTACATTTGCTGAAAACCACAATACGCGATGGATATCATTGTTAAAAACAATGAATAAAGAAGGTGGTGGTGGAGAAGGTGCCATAGGTCCGCACCGTCTGCTGTCTGGTCCTCAACTGAAAATGGGATCGAGACACAGAGTTCCAATATTCCTAAGTAGTATTTTCATATTTATTGTGCCGTACAATACATGACGGTTTAGTTTTATTTAACGGATCTTATTGATAGTTCTAAAACTTTAGTTTTTATAAATTAAAAAGCAGAAACGATAAAGATTATATCTTGTTGTAGTTTTTAGTAAAGTTCAATGTTGGAGAAAGAGTTCGAGACGAGGAAGCTTTTAGATGGTAGCCATATTGTGTCGATAGTGTCAGTAAAAATAATAGTGATTTTCTTGAATTTTATTGTGTATGTTGTGAGGCTTCTGGCCTACAAGTATGAACAAAACCCCCAGTAGACGCTCCTCATAGCAATGGCAGCATCTAGAAAATTACAAGGTAAGAGAAAGAGCCTTAAAGTTCTGTTTGATGAGACAAGGTAGGAAATGAAAGCCTGTTTACAAAGTGTAAACACGGTAACTTTATCGTGAAATTCATAGCAATACAGCCTCAGAACAAACCCAAATTATTATTGGTGTACCTAATAGGTGATGATTAACCCCGGGAAGAACTGTGAATATTATAAAGTATATGGGAAGCTTTGTAAAGCTTAAGTGACATTGTGTGAGGCTGTGGTGTACGGCCAGCGCTGCTCGTTTCAACTTTTACTGTAGTTTTTTACCATTAATTCTCAGCACTGTGTGAAATATACAGTGTTACATACGTGTGTCCACTGGTGGTACCTATTATACTGAGACATCCCCCCCCACCTTTTAATATTTGTCTTCCCAAACTCTACTTACAGTATGGTACTCGGGATTTAGTGAGAAATAAAAGAAAAGGGTTCAAATAAATTATTTGCTAATATTGAAAATATCAGTGAAAAATAATGGAAAAAATTTATATAGGTTGAGTTATGAGAATTCAAAGTGAGTAATGGAGGATGTAGATATGTCCTTTACACATTATTGTGGTTTATTTGAGAGTAATGGTACAGTTTATATTCATTTAAAAAAAATATAGCCTTTGACAAAATAATGTAGTCATGAACACAGTGAATTCGTGGAAATATTTTATGTGTGCTGTAGGAATTAATTTTTGTGTCCTCCAGTGATAGTCTATATCATGTACTGTATTCATCCTGTCTTTAAGTTATGTGTGGTCTGGGCTATTATGCGGAGGGAGATTACATGCTTTAATATAGATGGAACAAATTATATGCATAAACAACAAAGCTAACTGACTCCACAAACTTATTCAATAGTGTGCAGTACTGTACTATGAGATATGTTTAGCTTTTGTCAGTAGCTGCTAATTTGTTTGATGCTATTAAATGCAACCAAATGCAATTGCAAATAAATTGTTTAAGATGTATTAGAAGGCCTGTGAGTTCTGTAATTATATAATTTGCCCTAGTGTATATTATACACAATGCAAATTATATAATACACTGTATGACTGATTACTTTTTATTTATTTTTAATGGAAAGGATGAGTTATGAGAAATTATGTAATTACAAGACACTCTTATGAGATGCCAGCAGATTACTATAGATTGCTTTCTGTCAATTGTATCTTTAACTTGATAGAGATTCATTTTAACGTCCCCTTCATTTTTTACAGAGAAAATAATTATGTTTTGTTTACGTTGATGTGCTTTGTTTAAATCTGACCTTCATTTTCTTTGGAAAATCCACATTTATGAGAAAATGTTAGAGACCAACCAAAGAAACCTACCTAACCTTACCTAACTTCCTAGCCGGGCCCACTATATTGAACAGAAAATACAATTGTGATATCTGGTACTAATGAAAGCAGCATTGTTGAAGCTACATGGTGTAATTTCCTAATTTTAAATTTTTTTGTGGATGTGAGAGTACCCTCGAACAACATGAAGGGCCTTGGCAGATTTTCAGAGGAATATTTATGGTAAATAATTCAACTTTTGACATTACCTCCAAAATAATGACTGTCCAAGAATGTTGAAGGGTAGTGTAATCTTTATCTAAAGTCCAGCTAGCAAAATATTAACTCTTTCTTTATAAACTGATAGGGATGTTGAAATGATTCTTAACCTTTAACTTCGTGTTTCTTGCTGTGGGGAGCGGAGCGGGGCAAGACTTAAATTTCTGTTGTTAAATAAACATGCTTTGCAAAATAAATATGACTAGAATATGTATAGCTTAAGTAGTGGTAATACTGGAGTACGTAAATGGCTAACACCAGAATGAGTTATTCGGTTTTGTTCATTTTTTCCACAGATGTTGTTTGGATGATATAGTAGTAAAAATTATACTAAAACAATTTATTTTAATTTTAAGTACTGGTAGGTAGGTATTTTTTATTGTTTTAGTTCTGTCTACAATCATAAATCATCTGTAATGGTCAGGGTATGAAGGATGATGGATATTGCTGAGTAAAACATAGCAAAAAAATGATCATATGACACATAAATGATGTGTCTGCAATCTTTGTTCTTGAAGAAATTAACTATTTACCATAAATATTCAGCCCAAAAGTCTGTTCTTTGTTTGTTTACGCTCGGTCTGGGTGTACTCTCACATACACGAAATACGTAATATTACACCACGCTACTTCAAGAAAGTTGCTTATATTGGTACCAGATATTGAAATAAATATTTTCTGTCCATCCCCTTGGTAGGAAGTTAGGTAAGGTTGGGTAGATTTCTTTGGTTGGTTAGGTCAGGTTCTATTATATTCTGTGCATTGTCATACAGTATTCCTTTTATTACTTAATATCATCCAAAGAACATCTGTAGAAAAAATGAATGAAATCAAACACTTCATTATGGTGTTATCCATCTGCTCCAGGACTACGGAAGTACAATATATTGGCAATTTTATACTTTGGGCCTCATGCCTGCTAAGTTAGGTTATATTAGAAGCTCACTGTACTGTACCATCTAATGGATGTTTAGTTCGTTTCATTTGCCATTAAGTGTGCTCTCAGAAATGTTACTACATTTCTTTGTCTCTTAATTTAATACAAAGCTTAATACAGTACTACAATGCTATCAACCTCTCAGTACTACACTGAACACAGTTGTCATATAATTTCTACCCAAATTTAATGTACAGTAGTCACTTTGCTTCATTAACACTGGATTATAAAATTAAATAATATACAGTACCAAAATATTGTAACCCATTATAACCTAAATAAGCATTATTTTAGGCACAGTATATTGTATACTGTACTTCTATTATATAAACTAATTTATGTTATGGTAGGTAAATTATATTTTAGATTTTAATTTAATTATCTCTTATCAAGCATCTTATCCTGGTGGAGTCTGTCATGATATGAACTACCTACCATAATTATCATGGTATTTTGAATACGTACTGTACTGGTATCTAAATACTGTACTGTACTGGACATGAGCTGTATATGACTCTATTTCATCCTTCACACTACAGTACTGTACTAAGTTAGCCTAACCCATGGGTATTATAGTAGTTGGAAATGGCTGCTAAACCCAGCAACTGTTTAACTAGTGTTAGGTTAAATTGAGTTTTCACAGGAATATTTTTGAGTCAGTTAAGCAACACAGTTGCTGGCACCTCTAATTTCAGCCATTAAAGTTGAATTCAAGAGATCTCCGTTATTGACATTTAGCGAGACTAGGAACTTTATGAAGTACCAGATACTACTGCAGTATATACTGTAGTACAGTGGGGTATGCTATAACAAATCTAATTGGTTCTAGAACCTTGTTCGTTATAGCATTCGTTCGTTATAGGATTAATCCGTTCCAGGCCCCCGAATACAACCACTTAACACTGAAAAATATAATATAAAATTGTAAAAATTTTAAAAAAGTGCATAAATATGTATCTAAACCCCTGAAATAAAGAATATCATTAATATTTTTAATAAAAAAACAATAAATTAGAAAAAAAAAATTAAATAATGTTCGTTGTAGGAGTTTCGTTTGTTATAGCATTCTCAATTTTATAGGTAAAACCGTTCGTTATAGAAATATTCGTAGTAGGATCCGTTCGTTATAGCATACCCCACTGTATATGATTTATCGTTCATGAAACGAACCAAGCTAAACCTAACTAACCTAACCTAACCTAACCTACCCTACCTACCTCAACTTGAGCTTCACCTAAACATTATTACTGTACTGTGCAGTACAGTACAGTACTGTATATGATTTAGATTAGAATAGGTTAGGAAGTTTAGTTTGGTGAATGGCAGGTTATATAATGTACTGGTACTGTATTTCAGAAAGTTCCCAATCTCACTGAATGTCAATAAAGGTGCTCGTGATTTTACTCACATTAAATACAAAATAACCCAATACTGTACTGGCATACTATATTTAAAATAAATCAATAAGAAATAAGTTAGTGGAGAGAAAGCTTCCTGAATAGCTATTATAGAGTTTTGAAAGATCAAATGTGAATGCCTATTTTTAGTAACTGCTAACTGGTGTGAATGACATGTGTTATCTTAAATAGCTACTGTATGACTTTACTATTTAAGGATAATGGTCCAGGTAATTAGGCTACCTTTCTTATTCAAAATTTTGTCCCTAGGTTTTCTCCTCAATAAATTAACCTGCCACCACCGTCTTTGTTTATGCGAGCATCAGGATGTGTTGTTGTCGACATTGTTCAAACGTTGTAGACTCTAATGCTACTCTGTTTCAAACTCATTAATAGTAATAAGCAACAGCAGCAACAACAGCAACTTTACATGATTATTATATGGACAATGAGGATAAGTTATTCTTTCTTACATTAAAAATACAGTACTGTAATACGGTTATACTGTACAGAACAGTGCACTCAAACCAACAAAACAGCCTACTTACCTGACCTAGGATGGAAGTTTATTTTAATTAACGTCATGCCTCAAGGACAGGTGTGGGAGGGATGCTCACCTGTGTGTGCGCGTGTGAGTGTGTGCTCGGTCAGATGATAAAATAGCTCTAATGAACCAGGTCACCTGGTTAGGTTAGGTTGGGTAAGGTATATCATCAATAAAAACAATAAATAACTCGGCTGTACACAACTGTAGGTTGTTTTACTGTCTGACCTAACTATTACTGGCATTAATATTATATTTTATCATTATATTTATTTTATTATTATTACATTATTATTATTATTTTAGGGTACTACTGTTTTATGTGTGGGCAAATGACAGTCAGACACTTCATATGGGGGAAGTTTGTCAATGGGTTGGTGTGTACAGTACAGTATATTGTGTTTGTCGAAGTGGGCGTATGACAGTGGTGTCTGCCATTCATGGGAAAATACTGTAGCGAGAAAACCCTGAATAGGAAAAGTGCTATTTATTTTACCAATTTTGTTTTGTCTTGAGGTAAGAAATACGTTTTCTTATACAGTACTATACTGTAAAGGTATTTTTCGTTGGGCAGCTTGATAATTTGGGGGATTATCTTTAAGTATTACCAACATGACTTGTGTTCCCGGGGATCACTGCTGGACAGTGCAGTTTTAGAAGACACAGGAGAATAGTCGGTATTTCAGTAAAAAATTGTACACTTGTACAGTAATTGGAAGAAAAAAGTATATCACTGTCACCAACCAGCTGTGAAACTAAGTTTGACTCATTGTAGATCGTGCAAACTGCCCTTATAGCTAATTCAACTGTTGGGTTATAATATTTTCTCATTTATTTGTGCCAAATAATTCTTTGAAATTTTTTTTATCGTAATCCCATTATATCTCAATCTTTAAGTTTAGTTTGGATGAGTTATTAAATTATAAATATAGTATGGTGAAAAACACCTTACCTGGCTACATCAGAAGTGTGTGTGTTGATGTGTTAGCTACTAAAAGAATAAGCAAAATGGTCTGATACTTAGTTATTTTATGGGATGAAGTAGTATATAATGTGTTTGGTTTTGTAATGTGCTACTATATAGACTCTATGACCAACCCAGGATGATAATTCACTCCTTGTTTCATAATGAGTTACAGATAAACCTTGGAATGTGACTTTACTCATTAGTTAAGATATGAAAGGCTTGCATTCCTGAAAAACCATTTAGAAATTAATATTTTTTTATATCTGATTTACCCCATTGATTTCCATTTCTGTACTGTACTGCATTTTCCACTATGTAAGATGCACCCATAATTTAACAGTGAAGATCTAAGTAATAAGTAAATTACTGTATTGAGTTTGTCAATCATGCGAGGGTTGCATTAGAAAAAAATAATAAAAACAATATTGCACAATACAAGCAACTACTAAAATGTAAAGAACAGTAAGTCATTCTGCAACTAAGCTATACACTAGTGCCCCATACCCATTTCATGATAATGTATTCAAACTACTGGAACAGTCTTGACGAAGTAAAGTACTAAATAAAACAGTATTTTAAACAAAGGCTTAGGTATTCAACTACAAGAGGAGACATGCAAAGTTGAGGGTAGGAGGGCCAGGGGAGGCTGGGTGAATAAAATAAAAAATTGGGTCCCCAGAGAGATACAAAACCCGAGAGGATTGGTAAAAACAACCCAAGAATGTTTCAGCGTGGAGTACTGTGGTCCTGTGATTGCCAACCTTCAGATATGAGGATGGTACTCTGATTGATTACAATATATATATTGGGTTAAATTTGGGAACCATTGTGTCAAATGAGGAACTTCAGTTACAGTTCAGCAATGGCAAAATGTGATACTATATTAAATATATATATATATATATATATATATATATATATATATATATATATATATATATATATATATATATATATATATATATATATATATATATATATATATATATATATATATATATATATATATATATATATATATATATATATATATATATATATATATATATATATATATTAGTCTCAGACTGTACTGTACACGTACAGTATTGGCAACCATCCCATTGTCCATTATTACAGTTACTGTAGCTCAAGAAAGCATATGAATGTTGTTAGTTGAATTATGGAAAAAGATTGAATCCATAAGGTCTTAACCCTATTTGACATTGTATCTAGTGCAGTTTTGCTTCCATTTTTCATTCTTTTTCTTGTGTCCTAAATAATTTACACGTACTGTACTTTTTTCTTTACATTCTAATGAGTTTGGTATGATACTTATGTATGCATAATATATACGGTACTGTATAAATATGTACCTAGTGCAGATCTCCGACATCGGTAGGTGGGGTTGGTAATGGGCTGTCGACCCCGTGATCTTATAGCGCCTCGTTATTTGACGTACATAAATAATAGTGACACGAACAATACAAGGAAAATTGTCAAGATTATGAAGGATAAAATTATGTAGCGTAGCTATATGTTTGACTAAATATTTGATCAAGAAGGTGTATAGAGCAGTGAGTATTAGGCTGGGGCGACCGATATTGTACAGTATACCTGTTTACCTGTAGCTATTTCTTTCCTTCCTTTTTCATTAGTTATTGACATCTGTTTGTTTCTTTTTATTCTGATTAATTTACCATGATAATTATATGAAGAGTTACTAGTAAATGTTGTTTGTACGTCTAAATTTACACACAAAACGGGAAACATAAGTTCTGCTGGAAGTTCGTTGTTTTATTCTCAGAATAATATTTCCATGATTGCATCCACTGCCCCCCCCGAATTAATTTAGGTACTATCCGCTCAAAGTTGGAGGTATTATGGCTGCAAACCACTCACATTTTATATATGAAAAAATACACCATAATACATCTACTTGTTACTAGTGAATGGAAATTCCTTTGACAGCATAGGTATGAGTCGAAGTCTGTTATATGGTTATCAGAATATGTACAGATATAAAGAAAATCAGAAAGTGAACAGAGTAAATTGGATGGAAAGTTTTATGATCTTTAATTTTTGAAATATCAGAAAACATTACAGTACAGTATTTGCATTATGGAAAAATGTGCTTATTGCATTGTAATAGTTTGAGAGATTAGATGGTTTTTAGCTGTGAGCTTTTATGTCAAAGTTATGAAATGGAATTATTAGTGGATGAAGAATTTTGAATCTTGTATGTTGAAATCAAAGTACAGTACTGTATTCTAAAGCACTGTGAAATGAGGGTATCATCATAAATGTTTGTAATAAAGTATCACAGGCTAGAAACAAATGGGGGGGCTGGGAGACAGAAGAGGTGGCAACCTCCTAGTAAGCCAGGCAACCGAGTGGATTTTCTAGGAAGAGAAAGGAAGAGTTTTATAATCTTGATGTGACAGCAGCCAGGTATTCTGGCCTGGAGATGGGCAAGACGTGAAGAACAAGGGATCAGTGTGAGGTATTTTAGAAAAGTAGAGTAAAGGTGGGTGAAAAGGCTTCAGTTGAAGTGTTTAGACACACCTCCCTCCTCCTGGCCAGGATATGGTGTGCCCAAAAAGGACAGAGGTGGCAACCTCTTGGTGAACCAGGTAGCCCAATGATGGTTCACCCCTGCCAGGAAAGGGGATCGCTCAGGCTTATTTGGGGAAAGGGACCCTGCTTGCCGGGCTGCCACACTGCACTCTATGCCTGAAGAGTTTTGAATCTTGGGCATGTCAGATTGCCCAGGTATTCAGACTAAGGTCAAGTCATGAAGAAGAGAAAGGTTATAGTCTTAGGCTTGAGAACAGAGACACCTGATCTTGGACTACGTTCAAGAATGCCACATGAGGGACAAACTGCTCATGGACCAGACAAACTAGCCTGTTGTCTGATTCCCAGTTTTTTTTTAGGACAGAGGTGACAGAGGGTGAAAGAGATAAGTAGTCAAAGTGGAGTTTCATCACATGTCCCGGTCGGGGAACCCAGCCCTCCGGGAGGGATCAGGCATCAAGGATCGATAGCCATTCCCATTCAAAAACCGAGAAGGCTTCACCCCGTAGATAGCCGACTGACTGGTTTGTGTTTTCAGGTGTGAGGATGGGTAGGGTGAGGATGGACTGCCACGAAATGCGATTGAAGAGGTAGTGGGTGTGAGCCGGCAACAGTTTGGCTGGACCCTCAAGCAAGGTCCGCCTGTGACCTCAGCCCAGAGCCTACCACAGCAGCACTGGCACTTTCCTACGTGAAGATTGGCCAAACCCAGGACACCACATTTGGGAGGGTTATCCGGGGTCACGTGTTGACGTCCCGTCAACTTGAGAGAGGCTGCACATCTCGCGTTGAACTCAGTAGGGACGCCGCGCACTGGCTACCTACATGGCAAACACACCCTGGTTGTACTAGAGCCCCCATCATAAAACGCTGTTGAGGGCTTTCAACTTCCAGAGGGGCAAGATGAGCAGGATGAGGAAGAGTTAGTATGATGGGGGTGAGAGTTGGGTGTTAGGTGTCAGAAAGAAGGATGGGTTCTGGGTGTCACTGTGCTATGGGGAAACAATGTCGTCAATGTAGTCAGTCCATGTTGGGTTGGGTGTGTGTTTCTAAAGTCTGTGCTACCTAGTTGTCAGATTACTGTATTTATATATATATATATATATATATATATATATATATATTCCATTAATTAAAAAAGCTGTTGAAATTTGTGGGAATAGCCTATTGCCTTTGTCCCCTTGCCAAATGTAAAAAGTAAATCTACAAATTCATGAGTGGAAGTTACTTCTAGTTTCCAGATTTTCATATTACATACAAATAAAAAAAGTTAAACTAAAAATTTGCAGGCATACTGTCTTTGTCACCTATTAATGCACACACACACACACACACACACACACAAAAGAGAGAGAACCCTGTTGTTAGCATTTCGCTAAGTGTGTAACTTGTCGTAGCATCTGATATGTACTGTATTAGATTATCTTTGCACATTGCACTTTGACATAATTGACACTGACTACAGCACTTGTTCATTTTAGCATATTTAGCAGAAAACCCAACACCATGTATAGATTCTAAACATGTACATCTACCTCTCTTTCTGACTTGTAAGAATGAAGTTCATGAGGCACAACCATAAGGGCAGGTACTCATGCTACTCTATGGCAAATTAACAACCAATCTCCTTTGCTCCATTTGTGGATTACACAGAGATTTTATCAACTTCCATTCACATGTGAATGAATTTAATATTCTGTGAGTAATATTTGTATTCAGTCAAAAAACAGTCCACTTCAGAGATTTATTGATCTCAGTGTAAGAATGTGTTCTTTGGTCAGCAACGTCTGTGCCTCCCATAGTGAAGTCATATACAGTAGTTTATAGATGGTCATCTTTGATAATACCCAGGAGAAGAGAAACTGTACTGTAATGTTTTTCATGGCCATTCTCCTGGTCTGTGTTACATTGGATTTCAAATAGTTTACCATCAGTTTTCCCATTAAACTTCATGAGTCTTGTCTTTCAGTAGTAGCTTGTATCTCTAGGGGTATTCCTCTCCTACCAGCATCAATAATACCTATGCCAATCATATCTTCTGACAGGAGCCATTTAAACAATTCCACTACTAGCATACAACTTATCCAGACTAATAACCCTACCTCTTAGATCTACACAACTTTTCAACTGGTTTTCAAGAGCTTTGACATTAGGAATAGTACCCTGTATGTAATATAGTCCAGGCTCCTCAATAGGTTTACCAGAATAAGCTATTGTCCTGAAAGTGAATGGGTACCTAACAGCATTGAAAGACTTATACAGAAGGCTATACCAGACAGGCTTACTCTTGTTATACTATCAGAATCCTATTTGGGCCTTACATCCATACAAAGTTTCATCAATTGTCAAGTAATCATAAGGCTGTAAAACTGAACTACAGAGTATGTTGAAGTGTTCAAAAAGGTCCTTTACTGCAGCAAATCTATCGTGTATCCACCTTTGGTGTCTAGTGTCAAGGTTATCAAAGGTAATGCAGGCATAAATGAATGCAAATCTCTTAGCAGACATCACTGCTCCAAATATTGGGTGGCCAATAGATTCCCTAAAGAGAACTTGATACAGTAATCATTGTTTTTTCCAAAAAATTCTTGTGCCTATACTTGCCCAATAACACTTATAATTTCTACTGTCAAGGAGTCTGATGTGTGAAAGATCTTTCCTCACTTCATCTCTCAAGGCTACTGGTATATTTTTCTTTTGATCTTAGCATTTGTATACTGTACAGTACACTATAATCTCATCAATCATTTGAGGTGTTACAATCAATTCCAAAGCCTTTATAGGTGTGTCAAACACTTTTGCCACTCCTAGTCAGTGTTGCCATTATGAATTAGAAAAATCTGTAGACTTACTACAAAAAATCTTTAGAAAATCTGATGATTAAGAAATAATATCTTTAGAATTGTATATAATCTTTTTACAGTAGAATTGTGATTGTTCTTATTTAATTTTATACATTTTTGAACCTTTTATATGTACTATAACTTAAGCAAATCTGTGTTACCTTCAATTTACATGACAAACTATTTTCCCTCACATTATAAGTATGTACATGTATGCAAACTTAGGGGCAGGATTATGATTTATAAGAAACGATTTACTTGATTCTTGGTTTTACAGGATGTGCTGATGCACAAAACATGGTGGCAAATTTTATTCAAGGCTTCCTTGAAAGCCATAAGTGTAGCAAAAATATAGTACTGTATGAAAAACAAAATTCATTGTTCTATAACTAAATTCAGTACTGCAAATTACTTTAAACTTTATAAGGCATACCGGTACATTATTGTATATATTCTTGGTTCATTAAATGCAGAATATATATACAGTACATACTGAAACATACAAAAAAAATTCCAAATTAATAATTCATGCCTTCCTTGAAAACCCAGTGGTCAATCCAGTCTGCAGATGTGCTTGTTTTATAGCAATGTAGGGATGTGTAGCAATATTCTGATGAATTGAAAACATAAAATGTATAATATAATTCAAAGGTCACAGTTGATAATTTTGTTGGACTTCATTGAGAAAGTTAATTATTAATGTGATTACAGTATTGAATAAGAAAAAAGTTTTATTCATACAGTCGGCCAAATAAGTTTGCAGAGACCCAATAAGTTTAGGTTAGGGCAGCCGATCTGGTAATAATGTACTGTAAAGGTAAGGGGAGACGAGGAGTGGTAGGGGAGGCCTTGTTTGAGCGACAGGTACGGGTATATCGTGCGTTTGGAAGTGAGATTTTCACACAGTTACCAGATCTTTTGCCTTGCCCTATAGCTATTAGTTGGGTCTCTGCCACCCCAGAACATATCTTTGCAATAGTACCCGTGTCGCATATCAACAGTATTATAGTCCAAGGGTTTGATTTGCAAGTTAAAAAGAGTTTGATTGTTTTGTTTTTTATGATATGTCTTTGATGGTTAGTTTTTAGACGAGTCCCTATGAGTAACATAAACACTGATGCAACTCTGATTACTTAATATTTTAGGTAACAATCTTATGTAAAACTTGTATTATTTTAATGACCATTGCTACCTTTAATGTACTGTGTTATCCTTATGGCTCGTACTGTAGCTACATAGGTCATAAACTTAATTTTTATTATGTCTACTGATTTTTATCATTTTAAAACTTGATGTCTGTTTCTTCTTCCTGCAGGTGAAATTGATCGATGCCTGAAAAAAGTGGCAGAGGGTGTGGAACAGTTTGAAGACATTTGGCAAAAAGTACATAATGCCACTAATAGTAACCAAAAGGAAAAATATGAAGCAGACCTTAAAAAGGAAATTAAAAAACTTCAAAGATTACGAGATCAAATCAAGTCTTGGTTAGCCTCGGGGGAAATAAAGGACAAATCTCAACTCCTTGAGAACCGGAAATTGATAGAAACGGTAAGTTTTTCATTCTGATATTAGAAAGAGGGAATAGTTTTACTTATTATAATATAAGATGACTGTCTTGTGCTACCGTGTTTGACATACATCCTATGTTCATTTTGGGAACTGGGGTGTGGTCCCTCAGGTAACTCATCCCTGTAGTTTGAATTTTAGAGTATTTTTGTTCATTCCAACTTATGTTTCATTGCCATAAGTTATAGAAGGTAGCATTTTCTTGTCTGAGTTCTCTTTTCATCTTTAGGCTTACAGTCCTTCCCTTGATGATAATTCTCAGTTCTCCAGTCACCCTTGTTCCATGTCAGGGATGGGCGAATACAAGACATCAGTACAGTACAGTATTCATATATGAATACTGTACAAGAAAAAAATTAAATTTTTGAATACAAATATGTTTGTAGATATTCATGGATACATATTCGTAAATATCATGTGAGTAATCTCTTATTAATGGTAGATTATAGGAGAGTATAGCTGGGAACAGGAGTCACTTTTGTAGGAAAACACCTTGAGGGGCAGTGAGCAAGGCAGAGGGGTCAAACCAGGACCACTTCGGCAGTGAAGATATGGGGGAAGGAGATTGGTGCTACTATAATGCTGTCTACAACATATTTACACTATAGACTACGGTCTTCAACTTGTCCAGTACTTTAGAATGTGTACTGTCAGAATTTTCTTGGCGATTTATTATTTTTAGTATTTTAGTATTTTTAGATAAGGTTTGGTTAGGGTAGATTTAAGATATCTTGGTAGACTGCGCGCTATAGTAGCACCAGGAGATCTCTGTGTATGTAGTAACAGAAAGAAGAACTTACGTGACCTTGGTGTGATCAGCTACCAATGGCAAGAGTTGGGGTAGGGGGATTAACCTGCATACTTCCTCCTTTGAATTGATCCTCCACCCTGACCTACCTACACCCCCTCCCCCCATTACCCGGACACAACAACCACAATTGCCTTGTTAACTAATACAATACCATACCATACAGTAAGTCCTTGCTTAACGTCGGTTCCGTTCCTGAAAACCGCGACGTTAACAGAATAAATTTTTCCCATAAGAAATAGATAAAATACGGGAGTTATGTTCCCCAGCCTCCCTTTGCCCCATAAAATACATTACTTATACAGTACATAAATTCAATGGAATTTATATAGAAAATAGTATATATTATACATTCAAAAAGATATACAAACTAAATAATTTTGTATTGTATTCACTGATGGGCAGATAGTACGCACTGTTGTGGGGGTTAGACCAAGCGCAGCACCAATGTCCACCGCATGTTCACTTTTCTCAAAACGGTTTAAAACCTCCATTTTCGTAGCAAGGCTATTGAACTCACGTTGCTTCTTCACAACACTAGCATCATTAGTGCTTGGAAGCCATTTCAAATGGTTACAGTACAGTATTTAGAGCAAAAACATTTAAACACGCATGAATGCTGTGGAAGCCAAACAAAAACTGGGGACCCTTGGGGACGCTGTTACGCTCTGCGAGAAAGCGTAGCACACTAGGATGAGAGAGGGTGATGCGCCGTACAAAGTAGTCTGTGACAACGTTATACCGAATCGTTCAGGACGTTGTCTGAATCATGGGTATCTAAAGAGTAGCGACGTTATGACAAAACAACGTTGTCTGGGGCAACGTTAAATGAGGACTTACTTTATTTAATTTTGAATACTGTACCACATGTCTGTTCCATGTACTGTACAGTAATGTTCTCCCTATTTTAACTCTTACCCTTCTTATTTAACATAACTTCCAGATACTGTACTGTACTGTACTTGAATCTTTTTGGCCCCTCCTATATCTCATTCATCATAAAGTTGTACTTTATTGCAATTCATTAGGTTTTTTAATTCTGTTTGGTTTATCAGAATCTGTTAAGTGAAACATTTTCTCCAGAACATTTACCTTACTCTTCCTAGAATTTACCCGGAGCTTCCTTTCACATACAACATCAAAGTTATTTTACACTTTTTACAGTTCCAGTAGTTCACTCTACAAAAATTAATGCTCTATGTGTAGAGAAACATGTTATCAGTGAGGTCTCACCTGCTAGCTCCAGTGTAGCTCCTTCTGCAGTCACTCTTATCTTCCTTACCAATCTGTCAATAAATGTACAGTTTCTCATCCAAGAGGACATCACACATCCCTGCTTCTTGCTTGCTTTTACCTCATAGCTCCCTTTTAGTCATTTGTTTACTCTTGTTCATGCGCTCACTACAGCAGCTTTCCTCATACTGTGCTTTTTAAATCTTCCCCCCCTCCCACATTGTCTCTTGATCCATCCTATCATATGCTTCCTCCGTGTCTATAAATGTTGTTTACAGTTTCCAATTTTCCCAATTAGTATATTTTTCAGCAAGTATTTTTTTTTTAATATTTAGTCTAAACTGTACAACCCCTGCCTCTTCAAAATCCTTGGCCTCTCAGTTCCCTTCCTACATTCTGTTATTTTACTCATCCACTCAATTGCAACTGTTAACATTCTTTCCCATGGCTACTTAGTAGACTTATCTCTCTTTGGTTCTTACACTTTTTGTCATTACCTTTTCCCTTATACAATGATGTTACTTTGTTCTTTGATCACTCTTCAGGTACAAGGTAAAAAATGATCACTGCACATCAAATACTGTAGTTTTAAATCTGTGAAGTTTACCCAAACCAATACATTGTTTGGAGTGTCTTCAATTTGTGCGTGGCATCTGCTTAAAAAAGTCAACAATGCCTTTTTGTTTTTGCTTCCCTTCAGAATTAGTCTCTGTGAATTTACTCTTTTAAGCCATGGCTTTAGTTTTCACCAATCACAAAAAAAAATGACAAAGATAACAAAACTAGTTGTTTTAAACACAGACTGAAGAAATAATATTCACTCGGGACACAGTGATGCAGTGGCAACGCCAGGAGTGTGAAGGAGATGAAGCAGAAATACAGTACTTAGGAAGCAAAACTGGATTTTTAGAAAGGTTAAAGAAAACCTATGGGATTAAATTAGTGAAAATGTGTACAGTATTGATTTATTTTCTATACAGTCTCTCCCCGACTTACGACGGGGTTAGGGACCCAATTCCAGGTCGTAAGTCGAAAATGCGAAAATAATACGTACATAGAAAATCTAAAATGGGTCTTTCTTTTTCTTCTCAGCACCACAAAACTCACACTTTTAAGCATGCCAGCCATTTTAAATGGAATTACAAACGAAAATTTTGTCAGTACACAGCGCAATCACTAACGTCGGGACTCGAAAATACGTAATATGAAAATTTTTTGGTACGTCTGGGGCAGCCATATGTCCGGGTGGTCATAAGTCGGGTAGGTCGTAAGTCGAGGAGTGGCTGTACTCATAATTAATTACACACCAGTACATAATTGACCAATACAGAGAGGTTTTAAATGAATAATTGCCTGTATATTTATCTAACTGTTCCAAACTGCTGAGCTAAGCAAAATTTATAACTTGGATGTCACCCCCATCATTTTTTAAACTGAATAAAATTAGTACATAATGTAATAATACAGAAGTGTTTTAACTGGATTTTAACTGAAATACTGTTCCATTTTGCTGAGTTAAATAAATGACATTCCTTGGTGGTACCTCTTACCATTCTCTGAACTGAATAAAAAAAATTATCCAAATTACCGGTAAGCACAAATGACCACAATTATGTGTTTACAAAACCAGGGGCGTTGCCAGTGATTACATGGGGATAGAAGGGATACTGATACTGTGTTACATGAACCTGTCTGGTCACTCTGGTGTACTGTACTCCCTATACTGACTGTTACCAGATTACTGTACTAACAATACTGTACTACAATACTAAGAAATGACTGAAGAGTGTCCTTGGATGTACTCTTATAAGGTAAAAGTTGATAAAATTCAGATAAAAAAATAGCCGCTCCCCCAAAAGTTGATATTAAGCTTATCAACATAATAGCACATTCTGATATTGTAAGTTGTTGAGTGAAAGTGAATGAGTTATCATTGATAGTAAATTACATCAAAAGGAGAGAGGAGAGGGTGCATGATCTCATGTCTCCTTTCAACATTCCCCTGACACACAGCTGACTGAATGTAAACAAAATACGGTTTTCTGTAGGCTACACAGTACAGTACACATGGAACACCAAAGCTGTCCACAACAAGCCTTTATGTGTAAAAGGATATACAATAACAACATGACTATGAGTACCACATGGTTCTATGACAGCTGCAGTTTCCCTATCCCCCCAAAATTAAGCATAAACATTGTTCACATGAACTGTGAACTGAGCTTTGCAGAAAGGAAACGAGTAAAAAGTGATTAAACACCAACACAGACATTCAGTTCATAAGCTTAATGTATTGCTTTCTACTTACTTATATTTATACATCATATACATCAGAGTGAACATATTTGTTAGGTATAACATGGACAAAATTTGTACTAAAGTAGTAGAATAACCTCCTGTGGGCCCACCCAGCAAAAGCCATCTCACCCATACTGGACCTGTCAACCAGCTACACTGGCCGCCACTCCTGTGATGCAGTGTTTCCAGATTTTCAGATGTGAATTATCGTACTGAAACCATAAGATTATCGTTTCAACGTAAATTTTTTTTTTTTATTATTGAATTTTACTTCGATTTATTGCCTCATCTTGGTGTTGCCACTGCAATGATGACTAAAAGTAATAAATCTTGGGTCATGGTTTATCAGTACTTAAGTAGAATTTTTTTACTGCGTGTTATCAGTATGATCACTGCACATGAAACACTGCATAGGTACTTATTTTATACAGTGCAGTACCCTGAACTGGTATTTTCCCTGTTTTCCATCTGTCCAGCATACTTTTAGCAGGACGCCTATCATTCCTTCCCATGTTTCAGCATACTTGCCTTAATACCATCCACTGCCAAAGTTTCTTTCAATTATAATTTGCTTATTCCTGTTTTTATTTCCTACATATTTCCTTCTGTGCCTTCAGTTGATTGTATTTCATTATCTATTGAA